CTGACATTTCGGGCCTAGGCCCGAAATGTCAGCCTTCCTGCTCCTCTGATGCTGCTTGGCCTGCTGTGTTCATCCAGCTCCTCATCTTGTTATCTCAGATTCTCCAGCATCTGCAGTTCCTACCATCTCCAAAGTAACTAATCTATTGTGCAAATACTACGTTTTTTTCTGAGGAGAACAGAACTCCAATAGGACTACAAAAAATAAATTACTATGTCAATGACAGACAAAATAATGTAATGTATTTTGCTGGAAATTTTATATTTGTATCTTTTATAAAATTAGTCTGTTATAAGAGGAGATTTTTGAAAATGTAAGAAGCAATTTTTCACAACCAAAAATTACTATCTGTATTCTTCTTGATAAAGAAAATTTCCATGTGATTTAAATCTATAAATTATTTGCTCGCAATGCAAAATCTATACCCCAATGCTGTAACTATAGGATGCTTAACAATACCTTGCAAGTCTGTAAGAATTATAACACTCAAATAGGATCCAAAAATATTTGAACATTAACAGCAAAAGCTCAAAATGTGTAATCTAGTTGAGAAGTTAGCAAAAACATATATAATTTAATAATCATAACTGCACATTCACTTCCAGGTTTGCAGCGTCATGCTAATGAGTGGAGATTACTTAAAGCCATGCTGCAAGTGATTTCCCTCATCGTCAAAAAGGGACATAAACCAACCGTAATTTCAGCCAATGTTCCAGTACAACACATGTATCGTTGTTAATAATCCCATCATTGATATAATCTCAATTGGAATCTCTCCTCAATAGCTTACAATAAACTGATCTATAACAGCAAGTCATCCAACAATTTTCCTGGGATTGTTTCCACAACCTTCCAGTTAGGACTTCTGTAAAGAGGAGTCGAGGTGGCAGGGAGGCACAGCTCACTGCCTTCAGCTTTAGGCCATATGAGATTAGAAGGCCATTATGTAGCTTTCCTTTAGAATTCACCACAACTTCTATTCTGAAGCATGACAAGCATTAAATTTTGAGATGTCCCGTTGCTAATTAACAATCTATGACATTTGGGTCAAAAAACTCAAAGATGGCAAGTACAAAAACTTTTCACAGGCGTTTAAAAAAAATTATGTATTTGGTGGTTCCATTAATGGAATATTTAGAAGATATCCTAGAAAATTTTACAATCAACATTTAACACATTGTAGGATTCTTTAATAACAAGCCACCACCGTGTCATTTAGTCATTCTGATAAGTCTCACTTTGATTCAGATTGGTGTTGCGCAAGGAAAATAGAGTGATGGTTTGTCAATATGAATATACTGTCTAGGAAAAATTATAGTCACTGTTGCATAATACAAATAAGTACATTTTACAAAAGCTCAATTATCTGAGGCTGTTTTCACATTATTAATATCTAGAAGATTGTATGCTAAAGCAACAATAGGCAAAACTATTATATACACATATCTGAAGGCTGCCCTATAAGCAACTGCAATTATTTCTTGCTAATTTTCCATTTTGGTTTAAGCCAAAAAATGAAAAACAAAGAAGTACAGCATTGCTACTAATACCCAAATACTGACTGCACTAGTGCAGTAGTTTTCTTTGTCCTAATTTTTTTTCAAAAGGCTGTTTTATTTTGCTAAGAATTTATGAATATATTCTTTAGAAGAGCCTGCACACTAATACTGCAACTTAAACCACATGCAGAAACTGGGGGAAGACAGTAAAGAGACAGCACCATTCCAACTTCACGTTGTAGTGATTTTGAGAGGTTTAACACCAATGAATTTCCATTCGTGGCCTTGACCTACTACAGATGAACACGTTTGGAATAAGTGGGACTCAAATTATCCTGTAGCAAGTGTAATTACATTTTAATATTGCTCAGTCTTATGTCGCAAAGCTTTTTACTAGGTCTAAACAATCTTAAAATATTTTTATATAGCAATCGCTCAAATACTGTAAAATACATTGAAGAAATTACTAGAAGAGATTTAACCACGTACAACGACACCCATTTTACGGGCTTAATCCGGGGCAACGTTTTAAAACCCGAGTATATCTGAAACGTGCTGTACGATCCACATTTACACTTTCAGCAGGACATGGTATCGGATTGTTAGATTTCCTCCCCCTCAAGCGTCCCAAGAATTACTTGACTATGGGCAATATGCAAAATAATTAATTGCATTTCACAATTGTTACTATACATGTTTAAGATCAAATTTAGTCCAGTTTTCACATGACTGGGACATCAGCTTTCAATATCGGTCTGCTTACTGCCACACGTTACATTTCTTTTCTATATTTCATCCCCATAAAACTACTCTAATCCATCTCAGACATCAGCCAATAACGGTTTTTTGCGATTCAAAGATTTCATACGTACACATACTCATTTGCGCCCACGCCAGCAAGAGGAAAAAAGTTTACTCAAATACCGTTATTGTCGCAATTTAAAAGTCACGAAATATCCAAAACTAATTCCAATTTAAAAAAAAAATGAAACTTCTAACTCACTCCAGGAAAAAAATCCACCAAAAGTTTCGGGAAAATAAGTGTGGGGGCTAGGTGGGAAAAATACAAAAAAGGTTGACATTTATTCATGGAGACGTTAGGGAGTGGGGTAGGCGAAGTTGGAGAAGAATATTTCAGATGAAACCACGGTCTTGACATTTAGAGTAATACCGAAAATAAATGCACGTTAACAGACAGGTACCTTGGATCGTGAACTGTCCCCGCATTGAGACTCTCTCTCTCCAAAGATCGACGAAAGCTGCAGGGTGCTTTTAAAAATCGTTTCAATTCTTGAAACGAGGGGTTCTGAAGAATTCAGTCTACCCAGAAGGGGTGAGGGGGAAATAGCGAAAGTTGTGACCCGAAGGGGAATCTAGTGCCTCGTTACTTGCGGTAAACGCCAATGGTCGCCGTACTGTACTTACTGTAGCCGGGCGGGTAGGAAAGCCAGCTCGTCCCCCACTCTCACCGTTAAAATCAGGCTAACATATACATCAACACATTTTTAAAAAATTAGTCAAAAGCCTTTATGTTGTTGTCCTCAATTTTAAAACAACACTTACCAAACAGGGCTGACTTCCGAGAAAAACGATAACTTTTTTTGGGAGGGGGCGCGCCATTTGACTAAGTACATAGAAAACGGTGGGAGTTCGAGATCCCCTCGCACTGTCACATACAATAAAAAACTTTCCCCAGAATCAGCTATTTTTGTGTGCATCTCCCCATCATCGCGTTGCCAATTTTTAAATATTGCACCAATTATAACTCCCCAGTCATTCGTTGCGACAAGCCACCGGATTCAACGTTCAAGTTCCACTTTCTCCTTTTAGGCACCCTATTTTTCCCCTACCTCAGGACAAAGGATAAATTAAAACAAATTTTAGAAGAGGTGCCACAGGACAGAGGGGAAAAAAAAACACCCGTCCCGCTCAAAATTACTCAAACTTTTTTTAAAAAAACAAGTGCCAACTGACAAGAGACAGGAAAGAAACAAGAAAAAAAAGGAACAAACCTGCTTCTTCCGCACTGGGCGGAAGATCTGCGTCTTCCATCCCTTTGCTCCTCTTACACTGGTTTAATTATTTGAAGTGGGGGTTAAAGGGAAAAAGAGAGCAAAGTCCCCTTGGTCAACGAAGGAGTTATCTGTATCCGAGCTGCTTCTACCTGTGTGTGAGCGGCTTGACTACAGCTCTAACCTTTCTCGCCTTTTCCCTCCCTCACACCCTCCCTTCTCGTCTCATACCCTCTCCCCGCCTCTCTCCTCGATCCTCCTTAGTACTGTCCACTCTATTTCTCTTCATCCTGTGTCTGTATGTAGTACTGCTGCGGTGTTTTTTTCGCTCCAGTCGAAAATGGCGCCGAAAACCGAGATTCGACTCAAATTCGTTAGTAGCGGGGGTGGGGGTGGGGGAAGTACGCGGCATGATGGGTAATAGCGGCTCCTCGCGCTGACAGTTTGAAATTGGGCTCCAACGGCAGCGGCGCGAGTTGCCGCCGCCACTCGGCCAACGGTTCCTCACATCACAAAACAAGCTCCGCCACCAGTTTCCCTCCCTTCAGCCTCTCACCGCACTGTCACTCACTTCAATGAAGACCACTTCTTCAAACCACACCAGACCGAACGATTCAGCAGTACACCATTTGCGCCGAGCTTTCATATTGAATTTACCCAACTGGCTCACGTCTTTTGCAGGTCTGTTGTTTTTTTGGTTTAAAAAGGCACTATTCCGTTTCTGATGAATATTTACAAGTACGCAGTCCTGATCTGTTTACTAATCGTAAAGGTTGGCTTTAAGGAACTCAATTGGTGCTTTATTTTAGAAGGCGATTATTCATTCCCCGAACCCCACCCCCCCAACTTCCATTGAGGTTCTGTCAAAACTTCTCCATGTTAAGTGTGTCATTCGGAAAGATCTCGAAGCTTGTGTGTGTGGCTCCACTTCTGCCTCCGTGTATTTGGTATGCATCTGAAGTTTGTGGGTACCCCTCAGCAATTGCGAAAATGAAAAAAGACATCGTTTTGCAATCACGGGAAACTTGGATAAAACTGGCGTGTCAAAGTGAATTATTGATGCCTCCTAAATGATTAAGGCTTGCAATTTTCGACCGGACCAACTAGGATGACCACCTGTAATCATGAGTCCTACTAAACATCTGAATAGAATGGCATCAAGACGCAGGTAAGGCAATCTGATGAGATCAGGCAACCCATTACGCTTTAAGATATGGGTAACCCTCTGGAAACAGAAATGCCTCACAACATATCTTAAAATGCTGATAATCTGAAAATGGCTACCAGGCTGTAGGTAATTTGTTGCCAGTGGGCTAAAAGAAATAACTTCTAATGTTCACATGCCAGATTGCTGAAATCTTTTGAGTGAAGATCAGAGCTCTAAATGTTCGTAGGAAGTGTTAGTTATTTCCTTGCCCACACTAGGCTTGATAGATGTGGACCATGGAATCTTGGGTTATATACAAAATTTAAAATCAGTGTTTTAGTTGATTTAACTCAGTTGTTGCTACTACTGGATATTGGTACTCAGATTAGGATTTATTCAACAGGGTCTAAAAATGACCTCTTTACAAGATCTACACCTATTCAAGTACAGGAAACCAAACAAAGAACTAAATTGCCAGGGTAAACAACTTTTGGCAATCCAGTTGGTTGTGTGATCCATAGGCTGAAGTTTGAGGACCTATGCCTCAAGTAGGATGCCACAGCACTATCAAGATTTTCCTGAGAAATCTGTGATCACCTAAACAATGAATTCAGGATTGATAAATCAATTTCTCTATTAAACAATGGCAATTTTATTTTACACCTCTCCTGTTGCGATAGTTAATAAAACCAATTTGTCATATTTCTCATTTTTTTCCCCATTTTGCCATTGTTTTCATAAATTGTCCACAACCCAGAATATTAAGTCACTAGAGAATTTTTGTGAAGTTGCACAAAAAAGGTTCACATTTGATACTAATTTTCAACCTACATCAAAGTGAAAGGGAGAGGCAGGGTAGATCTGAAAATTCCAGTGGCGATAGGAAATGCACAATAAATCAAGTCGGGTATTCTTGCACAGTTACTCATGATTAGTTATGACCTACACTTGCAGAAAATTGACAAAAGACACTTGATTTCTTTTTCCTCCGATATTAATTGCTTGACACAAGGAATCTAAGGTTTTATATTTGTTTCAGAGATGCCAAAGGAACATCTTATAGAAGTTTATCCTTTTTCTGATGTTGCAAAACAATTTAGTTTAATAGAGAAATAGCAAGGAAAATTGGCTATAAACATGAGAATACAGTCCAATATGAATGCTAGCAGCCCAAATGGCTGAATCCTCCATTCTTCTATGGAATGTTTGTAACCCAAGATACATGTCATTATTTGAGGATAAGTACTGGATTAAATTATATACAAACATGATTTTTTTTTTTTAAAATGGGGGCAGGGTATGGAACTCCTTTTCTAAAAGAAATTTGTGGCAGATGATTGTGGGTAAATCATCATGACAAATATGCCCTTGCAACTAAGTGATTGCTTATTGTACTTGGCAAGTCATTTTTAAAATTTGTTGGAAGAAAGTCAGCTTGGTCAATAAAGTAAAGAGCAAGTTTAAAAATTATAATTTTCTCCAACTGACAGAATGCATTAAAACTATAATTATGGCAAGTTGACTTATCATCGATTAGATTAAATCAAGTAAATTTAATTTCACTGGTTAAAGATCAGCCCTTTTCACTCAAATGCATTCAAGCCTTAACCCAAATAATACTAGCAATAGTTGTTTCTTTGCAGTCTTATGCCTATGATTTTAGTTCCAGGGAAGGGGGAAGATAGTTGTTTCAATAGACTGGAGAAGGGATAGGTTAGATCATAAGATATAGGAACAGAAGTAGGCCATTCAGTTTATCAAGTTTGCTCTGTCATTCATGACTGATCTGATAATTCACCAACTCCACTTTCCTACCTTTTCCACGATAACCCTAAATTCCATTACTGATTTAAAAACTCACTGTCAGCCTTGAATATATTTAATGACTCAGTTGACAGCATTCTGCAATAAAGAATTCCACAGAATCACAAACACTGATCCCCTGACAGGAAATTTTTCACTTGTTTTAAAATGCGTGACCCCTTATTCGGGTATAATGTGTTCTGCTTTATAGACTATCCCACGAGGGCAAACAATCATTCCGCATCTATCTTGTCAAGAGAGCCAAGAATCTGTATTTTAACAAGAGTAACTCATTTTTTGGAAAACCAAAAAATACAGACTCAATCTATCCAACTTCTAAAGACAGTCCCTCCACCACTGGTATCAGCCTAGGGAACCTTCTTAGTGCTACCTCCAATGCCAGCATCTCTTTCCTTAGCAAAGGGGGCCCAAAATTGTTCAGTATTCCAGCTGTGGTCTGGCTAGTGCATTGTACTGTAGAGTTTTAGCAAAGCCTCCCTACTTTTATACTCCATTACCTTTGAAATAAAGGCCAACATTCCATTTGCCTTCCCTATACCAGCTGTACTTGGATGCTAGCTTTTTGGTGATTCATGGATGAAAACTCCCAAATCCTTTCTGTAGCTTTCTGCAGTCTTTCTCCATTTAAGTAATCTTCATCTTCCTGCTAAAATGCATCACCTCATTTTATTCCATTTGCCAAGTTTTTGCTCACTTGCTTAGCTTGTCTATAGACCTCTGCAGACACTCGTCATCCTTACCACTTGCCTTCCCACCTATTTGTGTCAACTGCAACTTGGCAATTGTATATTCACTTTCAAAATCATTTGATTGATATAATATGTAATTGTGGCCCCATCTAGGATCATCATGGCACACTACTAGTTAAAGATTGCCACCCTGAAAATGTCCCCCTTATCCCAAATCTATTAGCATGGATAGAGGACTGGCTAACTAATACCCTACCTTCAATACCATGGACCCTCGTCTTATTAAATGGCTTGATGTGTGATACCTTATCAAATGCTTTATGAAAATCCAAATATTACATCCACTACTTCCACTCTATCCTGTTTGTTACCTCCTCAAAGACTTCTAGTAAATTTGTCAAGCATGATTTCTCCTTCACCAAGCCATGCTGAAACATTTTAATCATATTTTGTATTTCTACATGCTCTGCTATTTCATCCTTTATCATAGACTAACATTTTCCCAATAATTGAAATTAAGCTAATTGGCCAGTAGTTACCCTCTTACCTTTAGAAAAGTTTAAATTTACAGTTTTCCAATACTGAGATTTTTCCAGAATCTAAGGAATACTCGAAGATTACTACCAAGATATTCATTGTCTCTGTAGCTACTTTCTCTAATATCCTAGGAATGCACCACATCAGGTCTGGGCCTTATTGCTCTTTAGCCCCACTCATTTCCCAACCTGGTGTTGTTACATTTATTTCCTCTTCACCTTTTGCCCCTAGAATATTTAGTAATTTTGGAACGCTTTAGATTTGACGTGCGATGAAGATCATTAGGGGTCTAGGCTAAGTAAATGAAGAGAAACTATTTGCATTTTCAGAACAGTCAAGAATTAGAGGATATGGATTTATGATGATTGGTAAATGAACAAAAGGCTGCTTGAGGAAACTTGTGTTTTTTGCTAAAAGAAAGAAAAACACAGCAAAATTATTAGAACCTAAGAATGCACTGCCTGAGAATGTTATAGCCAACAGTGGCTTCAAAACTGAACTGAATAGGCACTCAAAAAAGGGGAAAAAATAGCACGCTGCTAGAATGGTACATGGGAGTGGGACTGGTTGAGTCACTCTTGCATAATAAATCAGTATGGACAAAAGCATTCTATGACTCACTTGGAGAATAGTATTAAGTGGTTGAAGTATTCTCATGCTAGTCAACAGTCTGACAGGTGACAACATAAAACTTTGACTGTACTCATTTTATGTGAACATGGTGGTTAAGGCTACACATTGTTTACAATTTCAGGGGTTGCATCCAGTTATATTTACATCGAGGGGAGCATCATGCTGAATATTACAGTCCCCATCACCACTTGTCAGCACCAAATGCAACAAGGTTCAAAATGCTAAACCTCCTGACCCAATGTGAATGTGATCATTAAATCTTGGAGGTTAGTAGCTGTAAATTCCATTTATAAACATGTATTAAAATTACTTATCATTGCTCTGAGGGAAGAGTTTCTATTTCAGGAAGCCAGAACTAAAAAGATGAGAGTTAGCACTGTTTATTATTGACAACAGTTTCAATATGGTTACAATTGGTTTCAGTTGAGAAACAAGGTATGATTACACTACTGCTTGTATTCTACTGGTTACCAATGGGAAAAGATAGGTGCCAATTTGCAGGAAAATTAGTGGTTTAGGAACACTAATTGAGTAGACTAGGATGATAATATACCGTAAAGGGAACAGAGAAGGAAGAGCTTCTGAAGTGTATTCGATAGAATTTTCTTGATCATTATGTTTTCAGGCTAACAGGAACAGAAGCATTGTTAGATTTGGATTTGGGAAGATATCAGGGCAAAGTTTGGAGGAACCGTGAACATATTATTGTGACTGGCTATTAAAAGGATAAACAGCAACAGTAGTCTAAAAAGATACTCATTTGGAAGAGGATGAATTTCATTTGGGTGAGAATACATCTGGACAAAGTAAATGGAATCAACTATTGCCAGGCAGAACTGTAACAAAATAATGGGCTGCATTTAAAGAGGAGATGGTTCATGCACATTAGAAATACATTCTCAAAAAAAAAAAAAGGAGAAAGGAAAGACAACCAATGCCAGAGTTCACTGCATGACAAAGATGTGGCAGAAAGTGACATGTATGACAGGTGTCAGGATGACAATTGAATATTGAAAAGTACAGAGAGGAAATGAAAAAGGAACCAAGAAGAAAAACAATAAGAGGGAACTATTAGAAAAGAGAATCCAAAAATCTTCTATGGCAATATAAATAGTAAAAATATAGAAAAAAGGAGAGAGGGAGATTATAATGTTAGATAAAGACAAACTGTTTCCAATGGAAAAAGGATCAAGAACGAAAGGGCAGCGATTTAAGAAATAAGAACAAATGCAATTCAAACTTTTTTCATACAAACGAGTGGTTAGGATCTGAAGTGCACCTAGTGGTAATAACTAATTTAATTGTTGCTTTTTTATTAAAAGCGAGTGTATGTGATTAGTACCTGAAGAGAAAAGCTGCAGGGTTTAGGGAAAGGGTAGGAAATTGGGACTGGCAGAGTCCCTTTTGCTGACAGCAGGCTGACATGTTGAAAGCTTGATGGCTGCAGTTATTTTACGATTCTGATACTAAAACTAGGTCACTATCAACATGTAACTAGAACCATTAACAATAGTTAAAACTTGAATCCCTTTACAGGAACAATAATAAACAAAATTGGATCCACAAGGAAGTATTAGGGCCAATGTCTAAAGTTTCCATTAGTAGCAAGGCTGGAGACACATCTTAAAAGCTAAAAAATGTGGTAGCTTCAAGAATTTTGGGCCTTGGAAGCTGAAGACATTGTTGCCAATTGAACAACTCATCTCAAAAGGGTAAGGTTCAAGGAGATTACTGAGACGTGAAGTGTTGAGATGAGGGAGTGATTTGAGAAAATAAAAATAGAATTTTATAATTAAAAAAGGTATTGCTCAATGGGAAACGACTCTAGGTCAAAGAAGACAGGGCATAGGTTAAAACATGGACAGCAGAATTCTAAAGTGACAAGATTGGAGGGTAGACTCCTGAATGCTGTTCAGAACAGCATTGGAATACGGTTTCTCTACTGGAAAAGTGGACATGCACTGAAGGAGGCTAGTGTGTTCAAAGTATAAAGTGCTGCAGACAGGTCGACAAAATTGCCAACTTTTGTCACTGTCACACAAGATGACATTTGTGACATTGACAGCCATTTCACTGTGGTGGCAGGGGTAGAAACTTGATTGGAGGGATTCAGAGTTCTGGGGTAAATGGGCATGAACTTGAGAAGACAGCATGTTTGATGGCTTTGGAAAGGAAAAGGGAGATTGGCAACAGGTCCACAGTTAGCCAGGCCAGGCATGTCAGGTTGCCCAGAGGAGACTGGCACTAAAGAGCAGTTAGATGATGGCATTTGAAAGCCAAGAAAGCTTGTTCATTTATCAGTCTAGGTGATACCAAAAATCTTTTGAATTGCTTATAAAAGTTCTCAGGTTCTACAATTGCAGAAACAGAATGAGTGGAGAAATGTGTTGTTCCTTTAAAAACACAGAAAAGCAGCAACTGTTCAACCAGTTCTTGTTAAGTTACAAGAAGTGTCTTTACTCCAGCCACACAGTGCTTTCAGGTACTTTTAATCAACTTGTTCAGACATGTTATAACATTTCTGAAGCAGGTGGAACTTGAAAGCAGACTTTCAGACCTAACTCTAGCCCCAGAGTTAGGTACAGTATCACTGCCACCAGACCCTCAAAATTAATGCACCTGGTATTTCCAGATGGTCTTCGATCCAAAGTACTAACCAGTCCAGAGTCTGGTTAACTTCAAAAAAATAAAGAAAAAACATTACACAAAATAAGGTGTTTTCAGACTAGTATGGCAATAATCACTGCCACTGAAGTTATTTTTAATGAACTTGTTATGACATGCTTGACACTTTCAGGGCAGGTGGGACTTGAATGTGGACCTCCTGGTCCAGAGATAGGAACACTGTACCACAAGATTCAAAACACTAGACTTTGCCAGAATGGGAACGAACCAGTGACCTTTAGATCTTCACTGTAACACTCTCCCAACTGAGCTATTTGAGCCATTGATCGTAGTGCTGCTATACACTGGGCTAATTGAAATGTCAAGCAATTAATAGGGAAGAAAAGATGAGGGTGGAAGAGAGAGTTCACTTATTATGACAATGAGTTGAAGTTCCTGTTTACTGCATAACAAAAAATTAAAAGCAAAATATTATACATACTGAAAACCAGAGGCAAAAAATACTGGAGAAACTCAGCAAGTCTGGCAGCATCTCTGGAGTGAGAAACAGTTAGCATTCAGTTCAGTATGGCTCTTCCGAGTGCTGAAGAATCTTACTGGACTGAAAACATTAACTTCTCTCCACAAATGCTGGCAGATCTGCCGTGTTTCTTCAGCATTCTGTTTGTCTACTGTATACAAAACATCTTGTTACATAGTAAAGAGTTTCACCCCTTTCAGTCTTTTGCAGTGGCCTTCAGTGCTTTATATTTAGAGTTTTGGGATGGAGTTAAGAGGATCCACTAACTCACTACAACACATTTTTCCTTAAAAGGAAGCAAATAAGACGACCCATGTAACTACATAAAACTAATAGAAAGGGTAAATTTGCAACTTAGGTTAACCCATGGCTTCAGGTCAAGGAAGCAAATGTAAAGTGGCAAAATGCAAGGCAGTGATTAAAATAAGGATATACTTTCTCTTGCCAGAGAATCAATACCTGGATATTCAGAATGCAGTGGAGGAGGCAAGAGTGACGCAAATGTTCTAGAATCTGATGGCTGCATAGCAGATTTCTGTAGCTTTAGATGGGCTGTATGACCATCCTTGTCTTGAGATTTGTACTTTGTTATCAAAGGATGTAGACAGGAGTGAATTCACTGTTAACAATTATAATGGAACAGCTTTGACTTACTACAAATGTAAAGTTGGTACAAACATTGAAACTACATATTGTCTTCAGCTTTGTGATAGTATGAATATCATGTACCAAAACATTTTGTGAAAAATAAACCTGTACTTGTGAATTAATCTTCAATGTTTGGATAACTAACTCCAGAACTAAGAAAAACAATGCCTGTGAAACAAAAACTAATATCTCCTTGTACTTCACAACCTACTTAGTGTTTGACACTGTTGACCACAACATTCTCCTTTAACACCTATCCATTGTCGTCCAGCTGGGCAGGAGTGCATGCCTATTTCTAGTCAGTCAATCACAAGAAAGAGCTTATTTTCTTGATCTGCACCATTATTCTCTGTTACCAAAGAATCTAACCTGGGATCCCTCTACATCTCTATGTATTGTCCCTCAGCAACAAAAAGTATGAGCATGTAAGCTGTTGAAGAACAACTGTACTTCATCATTACCTCCTTGGAACTCTGTCTCCAAGCTGTAGGACAACTTAACCAACATTTAGTACTAGAAAAGCAGAAACTTCCAACAAAATACTGGGAAGACCAAGAGAGGAATAGACTGCAACTATGATGTCACATCTGAACCAGAGATGAACTCCCACCCACACATCCATTCCATCTCTAATGTTGCACAACTCTCCCCCCATCTCCACTACTTATTGTGGAAACTGTCATCCACATCTTAGTTACCTCAACTCAACTATTCTAAGAAAAAAAAAGTAGACTACTCAGCTCCTCAAGCTTTCTCCACCATTCAAGATGATGGCTAATCTGATCACTTTACATTCCCATCTACCCCAGTAACCTTTCACTCTTGCTTATTTAGAAACAGTCTTCCTTTGGCTTACAAATATTTCAAAGACTTTGCTTTCACTTTTGGAGGGAGCGCGTTCCAATGACTCTCAATCAAGAAATTCCTATCTGTCTTAAAATGGGTGACACCTAGTTGTAGATTCTTTCATAAAAAGGAAAGATCTTTTCTATATGCACCCTGTCAAAACCCGTCAGGATCCTATGTTTCAAATCAAGTCACCTTTCAATTTACAAACTCAAGTGGATAAAAGTCTAGCTTGTCCAATCTTTCCTCATAACAGGACCCATCCAAAGCAGGTATTAGTCTAAGGAACCTTCACCAAACTGCTTCCAACACATTTAGATCCTTCTAAGAAGGAGATTAAACCATACACAGTTCTCGCAATATAGTCCCACTAATGTTTTGTATAGCTGAAGCACACAAACATTCCATGTTCCATTAACCATCAACTGAAAACTCTGCAGTCTCTGCCCTAATTTCCATTTACCTGAAGCCCCTGTGCTTACCAATGAACGTTACTTACCCAGGAGCCAATACTTTTCAAAAAATATTCAAAACCAGATTTTTCCATGGACTTGCATCTCCTTAATTCTGTGATCTCCAGCTTTGAAACCTGCCAATAACTGCTTCACCAATTCTAGTGATCCCAATTTTAAATTGTTTCAACATCATTTGATCTAGTCTTCAGCTGTCAAAAATCTAATCTAAATTCCTGAACTAAACCTCTCCACCTCTTTCCCTTTTTTCAACTCAAAGAGGCTTCTTAATCTTTGCCTCTTTAACCAAGCTTTTGGTCATGGAGTAACATTAGGAGACATGGGTGGGGGGTCAATGTCAAAGTTAGTTTCCTCCCAAATGTTGACTTTCCTGCTCCTCTGATGCTGTCTGATCTGCTGTGCTCTTCCAGTCTCACACCTATAGACTCAAAGACAAAGTTTGTTTGTTGAATGCTCCTGTGAAGCATTCTGGGATCTTACTATATTAAAAAAGGGTACAACATTAAGACACAGGTGTTCTTAAATGCAGGCCACGATCAATGATAGCTGTGCTCCAATTCTATGTAGTTGGAAAACGTGTTCTAATAGCTAGTATCTTTTCGTTAATATTGGAGCAATTGTACCAATGCTCAGATATCCGTTTCGATGAGTCCTTTAACGTTTGGAACTAATTCTAAGTCTCCGTTCATGAGAGGTGTTCTGTTTTGAAAAGACCAATAGGAGGGGGGAACTCAATTCCACCAGAAAGATCAACATGCGGCTCCGCTTTTAGATAGGAAGAAATGTCGCAGTTAATTGAAAATATAAATACTATCTTGTCAACATCAAAAGTGCTCGTACTACAGTATAACCGTAGAAACTTTCAAACTTTAACTCTCCAGATTGTCGGATTTTTCCTGGTAGCTAAGATGGTGCATGATATGGAAATACGCCCTTAAAATGCAAACAAACAAGGTTGCGGAAAACGAGCCGCTACAAAAGTGCCTTTAAGTATGCCGTACAGACAACAACTTTTACTGGTCTTTTTTAACAGTATGATTGTAGCAATCAGTCAGACAGAATGTATTTCTATAACCAGACTGCATGAGACTTTTTCTTAAAAGCACTGTATCTTGCATTTGTTGTACCAAACTTCCATCGGAATAAACATTTTCGGGCATTAAGGACTTGCTGTTCAATCGAGCTTTGAGTTGCAGTCGTTTAACCACGGTGCTACTCGTAATATTTACACTTCGAGCACCAGTTGTTAACAAGAACTATATTAGGTTATTTGTAAAGATCGTTTCTCCTAACTTTTAAAATAAAAATCCAACCCATCGTCAAGCAGTCCGGTGAAAATGCGAACTTTTGTTTGTAGCGATACTTTCCGTTTATTTCGTCCATACGCCGGCCTACTTGCCCAAGTTCTACTCTGAATCGGTCATTACAAAATATAACAGCCACCCTCTTCAGTTCTCAGTATTGTAAATGGCTTATTGTTTGCAACAAAGTACTCCGCGAAAGCGGATGTCCCACCCTCATGGCCACGCTGAACATCGATGATTGGGTCGGTGACGCCATCACTGTCCTAATTTGGACTTTTCCCAATTCTAGGTTGACTATTGTATGGAGGTCCGGTCTGTCAATCTCCTTACGCCGAGTACCTCTGTGTATCAATGTAAATACGGTAGTATTATTGCTTCTATGCAATGTTGCCAGAATGCTTTATGTTACCTTGGCTAAGGTGCGCTGTGCTTGCACATGCTGCATTATCCGGTGATATTAAATTAACAAAGGTAAACGGAGAGTGGTCGTACATTTATTGTCTTTTCCCTTTATGTTTTAACCCGACTTAAAACAAATTTAAATAAACAACGTATCACGTTTCTCCAGTCATTACGGAAATTTTATCATCAGTTGCACAGCTTTGCTCGACAGTATAGGATGTGCGGATTAAGAGTGGACAAATTATCTACACGAAAATAGACAAACAAACTGGAGTATTATGTGCGACTGTCCTTTTGCAATATCAGCTATTTTAAAATTTAAATCTGTAATTGCGTCATTACGTCGTTAGGCATAATTACTACAATCAAGTTGATGCCCGATAGGGTGCGATTTAATATACTCCAAACATGCTTTTCGATCATGCACTGTTTAGGAATACGTTTCACACTCACCACATAAGTTGAACGCTTCAAAACTAGTCCGTTTTGTGTCTAAATAATCTTTCATGTACTAGACAAAAGAAGCAACAGTCTTTGATAAAATTCACACAGGTACATGACTAAATACTTCCTGAGTTTTAATAGGAGAAAACAATGTGAGACACTTACTGACACTCGAACATCTCATGTAATCCAACTCTTAGAACGTGTACTCTTTAGAAAACAAAACTTCGCAAAAATATCGGGGCTTATGTTCTCCAACGTCAACATTTATCCTTTTATGCAGTTTCAGCAAGCTTCAAGGAAGTTGTCCTTTTGTTCTACTATTTATAGATTGCGTCAACATTGCGAAAAGGGTAGGCGGAGCGGTCCCTGCAGGAAAGCGCACAGCACACGCGACCTACCATCCAGTTGTAGTAAACCAGCGGGTCAAATTATCCCACGTGTTTGTGATAACCTTTGTAAAAGAAATCCATATCGCACTCTGGAAAAGGCAAGATAACAAGTAATATTTTTGCTAACAGGTCATATTGTTTTCATTACTGTTACACTATTTTAAATAAAATGAAGTCCCACGACAGGTCCAGCAGGTTTATTTGAAACCACAAGCTTTCGAAAGGCTGCTCCTTCATAGATGAAGTCACCTGTCATCAGGCACCTCCACATCATTTAAAAAAATGTGTATTTGTATTTACCTATGTGTACACATTTTGTGGAAAGGACTCATAGACAGTTTGAATGTCCACTTGATAGCAGCTATTACTAATGTTAATTTGTGACAGTTGTCATTGGTTTGCAAGGCTATGAGAGATAACAAACAATGTTTAATTAGATTTAGTACCATGATGTTACTGTTGAGTCTAAATATGTAGTTAAATTTTAAAAGTTATGATTTTTCACTATAATTTTATACACAACAAACTGATGTTACGAGTATGTATTGTTGGCAAATAATCTACAGGATACATTGTAACTCTCCTATCCTGTCAAATAATTTAGTTATGATGGTCTGCTTTTACTTGTTGACTTCCACACGAGAGAAGAAAATTGTAATAAATTGCTTTGTTTTGCATTGATGACAGTCATAACTTAAGTGTCTTATGGTGTCATAGTTGTTTAAAGCACAGAAGGTACATGTATTCATGTTTAATAGATTTAATAAGCCAGAAGGTATCCAAGTCTTTGTCCTTGTGACCGCATTGATGTTTACTATGAATCTTGGGCGTGACATGACAATTATATCTTTTCATTAATTTGCATATGTAGTATTTAAGATTGCTTAGGAATCTTGATTTTCTAATCAACAAAAGAACTACCAGAACAGGAAGAATACTAAACAAAATCCAATTCTTTTAAATTCACAAAATATTTCATATAGACTTGAGCTTTAAGACTGCTTGGGACTCTGACATCACCTGTTGGACATTGCTGCAGAACACCAGTTCCTTATAAGCACAACAGGAGAAAAACAGAGATTTGACAATGTCAAGTGCATTGGCCCTTTTCACAGACAAATTGAACAATATTTAGCTCATGGTTTTGCACGAAGACTCGTCTTTTTTAAAACATTCTGAAGCCCACAAGATGCAAATTTAAATAAAGAACTGCAGATGAGCACTACACAATCAATGCAATGTCATACACATCACCATTACACACAATAGCATTGCAATATCATGTATCCAGATGCTGAAACTCTGGAGAAACTATAGCGATTAGCATTAGACAATACTTGCACAAGAATAGACTTTGAAAGCATAGAAATGTGTGCTGGTAGCTTCTTTCTAATCCCTTGAGCCATTTTTTTTGTAAAGGGGGTAATTTACAACTGGGAGTGCTGAAATACATGGAATTTACAATCAGAAATGCTTTTAATATATTGGAACACCGTAAGGTACTTCACAAAACAATACAATAAATTAAGATGCCAAGTCACATAAAGACATGAGGTGGATTTAAAAAATGCTTTAAAGAAGGAAAGTGAGAGATGGAGAGGCAAATGAGGCAATTCCAGAACTTAGAACCTAGTCCCCTGAAAGCATTGACCAATGGTGAAGCAATTATAACAGAGAATGCACAAAAATGAGTGCAGTTATCATGGAAAGTTGTAATATTGGGGGAGATTACAGAGATAGGGAGAGGCAAGACTGTGGAGGGATTGAAAACCAGGATAAGACTGGGAGTTAATGTAGTTCAGCAGGCAAAGGTGATGGGTAAGTGACTTGCTGTGTGTTAAGTAACAATCAGTAAAGGTTAGAGGGTAGAATGTGGGAGTCCAGTTAGAAGTGTGATTGAAGTATCAAAGGCAAGGATGAGGGGTTCAGCAGATCAGCTGACGCAGTGTGAAGTCAAATATGTTATAGAAGTAAAAGCAAAATACTGCGGATGCTGGAATTCTGAAACAAACACAAAGTGCTGACAAAACTCAGCAGGTCTGGCAGCATCTGTGGAGAGAGAAATAGAGTTAATGTTTGAGTGCAGTATGACTTATTTTGAACTAAGTAACAAAAGTTCAGCAGAAAGTCATAGTGACTTTGTTCAGAGAACTGAAGAAGTGCTGTGAACAGAGGCAAAATTAATATCAATTTATGAGTGTCAGTCAACTGTATGAAGACACAGATGTAAAATCCAGTATAAATAGGTCAATATTTCACATTGAGCGATAGTAAGAACTGCAGATGCTGGCGACAGAGAAGCTTTTTCTGAAGAAGGGTCCTGACCCAAAACGTCAACTTTCCTGCTCCTGTGATGCTGCCTGGCCTGCTGTGTTCCTCCAGCTCCACTCTGTGTTATCTCATTATTTCACATTGGTTTCATTTATTCATGCATTTATTAATTTATTATTGATTGAGACTAGCTTAGATAGATAAATGTACTGGCATGCCTCATTGTGGTTACATGGGAGTCAGAGACACTGCCATTGATACACACTGCTGCCATTGTGTATCATCTACAAGATGCATTGCAGCAACTCATCAAAACTCTTCCACACGTGCAACCGCTACCATCAAGAAGAATGAGATCAGCAGATGCATGGGAATATGACCTCCTGCATAATACTGTGCAAGCCACAAATCATTCTAATCTGCAACAGTCATTCCTTCACCATTGTTGGGTCAAATTCCTGGAACTTCCTTCCCAACGGCATTGTCAACACCTTCCCACTCTGCGATATTGTAAATACTGAAGGGTTGAAATAGGAAAAATTAATTATGTTGTTTTCAACTAATATACATTTGACCTGTCTATATTGGGTGTTACATCTGTGACCTTATGCAATTGACTGAGACTCATAATTTGTTATTAACTTTGCATCTGTTCACAGCATTTCTTCAGTTCTCTGAACAAAGACAGTTCTAATCCATAGCACAATGACCTCCAGAATAAGGAGACTAGTCTAAAATCCACTCCAGCCATACTATTGACAACAGTCTGATCCTGGCCACCCAGCCAACTGGGCCAATTGGACACTAGGGAGTCCAATTTTCTGGAGCAATTCACTTGTATAATCACTCAAACTGTTTGGCCTTGTTATAGACATGTCTTCCTTGGCCACCAACTCCTGGGGTGGGCTGTGAATCCAGAGCTCCGACTCAGAGGCAGGGTAACGATCCAATGAGCCACAAGACTTCCTCTTTAACATTATTGTTAGTGTTCAATTGCACCTTGGAACTGCATTCTATATGTGAACAAGTGATGTTCTAAAATGATTTTAAATATTTGCTCACTTTGCAAATTACCTTCTCATTTGAGCACGCTCCAGAAAATGCAGTGTACATCAATTGTAAATCTGACCATTCTTTTTACTGTTGCAACAGATTATTCCTTTTAGAATTGTAGAAGTCACAAAGAGACCAGACTTTTTAATGATAAAGCTTTCTTCTCCAGCCATTTTTTATATTTTTGCATTGTATGGAACACTGAAAAATATTTTTAATCAACTTGTTCAGGCATATTATGATACACCTCTGGTGTAGTTAGGACATGATTCTGGGCTTTCTGGCCCAGAGGCAGGGATCTACTACTGCACCACAGACCACAGTACTGGGAAGATGCTTTGGAATTTCTGTAATTAAGTGCCATTTGAGCCTTGCTGTTTCTTAATGAAGACTTAAATTCCACTTGAGCCACTCAAACCAATTACTGAATGCAACACTTAGATGAGGGAATACTGGTAGATTATTTATTTCTAAAACTCTAACAAATAGGTCAGATATGTAATTAGCAGAGTTCTACAAACAATTTAGTTGCTTAATTTCTCAATCAGGAATTAATGCATGACCCGGTGGTGAAGGCGGAAGAGATGGCCTAGTGGTGTTATCACTAGAGTATTAACCCAGATATGAGGATAATGTTCTGGGGGACCTGGGTTTGAATTCTACCATGGTAGATGGTGGAATTTAAACTCATTAAAAATCTGGAATTAAGAGTCTAATGATGACCATGAAACCATTGATGACTGTCAGGAAGAAAACCCCTCTGATTCACTAGTGCCATTAAAGGAATAAACTCCTGTCCTTACCTGTTGTATACGTGACTCCAGACCAACAGCAATTCTAGCTCTCTGGACAGTTAGGAATGAGCAATAAATGCTGGCGTAGCCCATGATGCTCCCATCCTTTGAACAAATAAAAAATGGTGAGTGAAAGAAAGACAATAAAAATTGGTAGCAAAAAGAGAATCAAACATGAAATGTCATAGTTCAGAGACTTGTAAATGTTACCAATGATATAGCCTTATTCAATTTGGTTGAAGGTCATTCTTATACAACTCTTGAGTAATATCAGCACAATGCTTGAGAATAATGCCCTTGTGCAAATGTTGGGCCAAAGTGCGTTGCTATGTAAACTGATTAATATAGATTTATTTGATCAAGATGTTGTTGGGAGATTATAGTATGTAGTCTGGTTTGGTGATCGTTAAAGTTATTGCCCTTGTAGGAATCTGAAGAAATAATGCATACTGTACCTGTTTTGCAGCTAGTTGCTTGATAGTTAATTTGCTACAAAAGTCTGACGACATGAAACTATATGTGATCAATCAAGATAGAAATTTTACTAACAAATTTCAATAATAACAAGAAAAAGTAGCATCTTCATCAGGAAATCATTTAATTTGAATGAAATTTGTTCATTCTTCTGGTTACTTACAGTTTTAAAGATCCTGGAGGACCTATTATTTTTACTTCTATCTTGAAAATTTAGTTTGAAATACTCATGACCCTGCCATTGGAGAACATCTGAGCTGGATTTTACCAGCCCTGTAGGGAAGGGCTAAGAAGGCAGGAAGCCTAGTACACGGGCAGGAGAAGGCAGGAGGGGTGAAACCTAACACATTCCTGTCACCACAGGTTATTCTCACTATGGAATGACAAGTGATGGGCACCCAATTAAACCAATCAAGTAGCTAAATCACAGCTGCTTTCCACCCCACCCAGCATTGTACTAGGCATCAGGTGGACTGCTGTTGCCTGATGAGATG